ATTCCTGATAGTGTTCCCATAGATCATGATTGAGGGAACGACGTCACTAGAAGCCGTGACTTTTCACTATATGTCTTGCAACCCCACGTTCGGGTGCACGTTTATATCTCATATATTACTCATCAAATTATCTCAGACTTGATAGTTTCCCAACGCGGGGAGGTATGACGGAGTGTGCGGTGAACAAATTGATGCTTTTTTTGTATTTTGATGTGATTAATTGATAATTTACACCTAATTCGAAAATAGAGGTAACTAATATTTCAAATTATAGAAACTTGGTGGAAATAGTCGGTTGTCGAAACAGATTTGTGTGCATGCGTGGAGGGTGTATGGTGTGTTTCATCAGTGAGTGGCGACGTTGAGATAACTTGTCGCAATTTGGTTGCAACTTGAACATGTTGAGGACATAGCTGACCTTTGGCATAAGCATATAGTTGCTTAATAATCAGCTTCATTATGGAAAAATACATCATCAGGGAAAAGATGATGTTTTACACAATAGACAAGTTAAATGAAACGTTTTTTGGTAGACATGTGGAGGAATGTCCACATTTGACGCATCAGTGACAAAAATTATGTCCGATGCAATTCTTTATTTTGACCTTTTCGCGAACACGTGGTATTATTTCTATTTTAAAGTGATTCATAAACACATGCGCGTGATATAGTCAGAATCGTACAATTGACTCATCTTTATGCAGAGATTTCTACTGGATATAGAATTTTTTTTGTCGCTTTATTTTCCTGAACGTTTGATTAGTTGTAAACAACGGCAATGTTGATAATTGCTTATAATCATTAAGAAAAATTAGGACGACATGTCTATCATTATGTGTCGCTTGATTTAGCTTCAACAAAATCTGTAAATGCGCCAGCGTGTCACTGCATTTTCTGGTCCAATAAAGGAGATCAGTGACACCGCCTCATCTATTTCATATTCAGATATTTGCATAAAGAATCAGATTAACAAAACGCTCTCCACAAGGCTATATGACAAGAGGGATTACTTCAACTTTCCAACAGTCAACTTTCCCTTTAAGTTGAGCAATATTCAAGCAGCACCAGCCCTTAGTGTCTACATTTCAAACGTCTGACATACACTCAAGCACACTCTTTCTACCATCACTTCAAAGTGCGTCATATGACTCTTGCTCAGAAGTTGTTGATCAAGGTTACAGCATTCAAGGTCTCAGCGAAGCTTTCAAAACGATTTATGGTAGACATGTGGCGGACCCTTCCAAATGTGACACATCAGTGACAGGATATCAGATGCCATTCCCTATTCTATCTAGTTTCATATGTTCCCATTTTTTTCATGTGAATAATTTACTTGCCTTTGCGTGTGTTTTTGACGGTGCCAACGGTGGGGCAGGATTTTATAGCGACAGCGAGTAGGGTAAATTTCGAAATACACCAGGATTTGTATCTCTTATTTTGTGTGTATATTTCCATTTGAAGAAATGTTTGGAGTGACATAGACATGTAATTATTACTTTACAAATGATAACACTTATAGATATACTGAAAACCTCGTCATAGGTACCGACAGGGTTGATGGGGTGTCTGTGTGGAGGAATGGTTGGTCTGCATCGGACGGAAGCCTAGTGGTTAAAATGTTCGCGCGATAGGCCGGAGGCCTTTGTTCGATTCCTCAAAGAGGTACAATGTGTGAAACCCATTTCTGGTGTCCCCAACCACGATATTTCTAATAATTCAAAAAGGGTGGAAAATCATACTCACTCACTTACTCTGACAACAAGGGTGATTTTTCAGTGTGTTAATGTTGTATTACACCGCAATCGGCAATATATGATCTACATGTATATCACGGTGGCCGAAATATCCACGCTGACGGGGCTCATTGACATACAATCTACCAGGTAACACATTATGAACATCCAATCTCACCTCTCACCACAAACACGTGGAAATGAAACTCAGTATGACTACGTTAGTGGATTTGTAAATGAATATACCAATATGTAATTTGATGAATATAAAGATTAATACACACGTAAACCGGATTATATATGGTAGTTAACAGGCTTGTATAGGGTAAAAAAACGGATAGCACACCGGTTATGGTAGTAAACCGGTTTGTATATGGCAGTAAACCGAGTTGCATATGGTAGTAAACCGGATTATATGTGGTAGTTAACTGCTTGTATAGGGTAGTAAACCGGATTGCAAATGGTGGTAAACCGGATTATATATGGCAGTAAACTGCTTCTATGTCGTAGTGAAACGGATCGCGTATGGTAGCTAAGCAGATTGCATAGTGGTAGTAGACCGGTTTGTATATGGTAGTAAACCGGTTTGTATATTGTAGTAAACCGGATTGCATATGGTAGTAAATAATATCGTTGAGGGACTGTGCAATAGACTTCGGTTCTGTTTGTGATACATTGTTTAATTCGATTGTGTAATCGTGATGACGCCATGCATGAGAATTCAACATATTTTACGCCATTCTTACTCCAGTCTTTTCAACGTTATACCTTCCTGTTTCCAGAGTATATTATCTTATTCACTTGGCATATCCTCATGGTAAGTTCTAGCTTTAGGATGGTGATACTTACACAAACTCTCACACCGGCGTTATCCAGTGCGTTCTTTGACATGTCATTGTGAGATTGAAAATCTAGAGTTTAGAGTCTTATATCTACATCTATTGTATTAGATCCAGGAGGTCTAACTTTACATACAAGAGTCCATTATGTTATTTCTGGAACGAAAGTTACTTTCTCGTTTGGCAGTAAAATGTTTGGCAATCTCATTCACTTCAGCAAATAGTGTCATGTGAACTGATTTAGTATGTGAAGGAGAACTGCCGTCTCCTGTTTCTATATAAAAATAGATGAGGCCCTTTCGAGGCCCACTTCCTGTCATGGCTGACATTTCCGGAAGGGTCGAGAGCATCTCTTTACGACTGGGGAGTAGAGAAATGACATATCCTTATCGTCTCAACATTAACTTGTCTAGTTTGAAGAACACATACAAAACAATAGCATTTATATTTACTCTACCAGATGTTTTACCGACGTTCTGACCTGCGTTAAATAAATAGGTTATCACAGCGACTGAAATATAACATTCAACAATAAATACAGTATAATTAAATTAAAAGCTATTTCAAGCCGTTCTAGCTTCACTCATTATAACATTAATACACCAAACAACCTCAGATCCTGACCGAGTTGAATCTTCTCATCTGATTGTGGCATATAGTAAACTACGGTTATAACGAACTCAAAAGGACCACTAAGTTTAGTTCGTAATAACCGTAGTTCGTTATAAGCACATATACAGCATATACACAACAAATGGCCGGGAATAAAAAAAATGTTCGATATATCAGTCAGTTCGTTATAAGCGTGTTCGTATAAAAGTAGTTTACTGTAATTTTATATACAGTTAGTTGATCAACTGCTGATAACTGTTTGGCATTCTAGAAGTTGGTTAGTAAATTATGAAAACATACAGCTTCATGAAAAACCATTACTGGTTTATTGTATGCAACTACGTTTGGATGAAGATTCATACATCGTTATTAAGCTGGAATGACCACAACGATGTAACAAGACGTACATGGTCATGTTTCGTAGTGGTAGGCAGGCAATTAACATCAGCAACAGCAGGGTAACAAGTTGCACACAAAAACTTGGAGGAAGCCAGATGTACAGTAGAAATAACAAATGGTATACAGAAAAAGAGTGAGTGTGAGTGAGTGAGTGAGTATGGTTTTACGCCGTTTTTAGCAATATTCCAGCAATATCACGGCGGGGGACACCAGAAATGGGCTTCACATATTGTACCCATGTCGGGAATCGAACCCGGGTCTTCGGCGTGACGAGCGAGCGCTTTAACCACCAGGCTACCCGACCACCCCTACAGAAAAAAGAAGCCAGATACATTAAGAGTTAAACAGTTGAACAAGCTGACTGGATACTTACAAAGTGCCTCATGCTTCAGTAAATCTTCATTGGCAGACGGGATATCTGTTGAGGTTTGAGATGGAGGATGTCTTTAGCTTAATAACAAAAAATATAGTTTCAGTAATACAGGCAAAATGGCGGTGAAAATGATATGAATGGATCACTGAAAATCAGTGATGGAATCAAGTGTTCGCGAAAAGGGTAAGCATTTCCGGTCGCACCTGTCACTCTCACAATTTGCATAAAAAAGCAAGCGTTTGTTGCCTGACCTCGCACAGTAGTAATTATGTCATGACTGTAAACAAACCATAAAGTGATGGATCGGAAAATTAAGTGACACTATAGACTTTTTTCTGATTGTGTTGAAACTAAACACAATATGTTAGTTTTGAATTGAATTGAAGTGCAGAGATTTTGTTGCTTATGCGTAAAGAAAACCCCATTAAGTAATATGTTCATTTGGCAACACAGTAGAGGACAGTTTTAATGTCTTGGCCAAAAGAAACTGTTGTAGCTTGGTTGATAAAGCTACTGAGCTTGTGGTAAAACTCGGAGACTTCAGTCTTACAGGAGAAACATCTAATTCTAGAACGACAACGCCAGAAAGGGTTTAAAGGGGTCCAGATTCTGCGGAATACTTATTGAAATGAATGGCTATCTTGGAACATCTCACTTACCTGCATCACTTCGAGACTTTCTCCCACATTAGACTGACTCGCCGTGATATAACTGAAGTACTATTGAAAGCAGCGTAAAACCAAACTCACTCACTCACTCATTCACTCATTCACTCACTCACTCACTCACTCACTCACTCACTCACTCACTCATTCACTCACTCACTCACTCACTCACTCACTCACTCACTCATTCACTCACTCACTCAATCACTCACTCACTCACATGGCTGCCTGAACCTTATGGTAACTTCACCCCGACGGCGTGTTTTTTTTCCTATAGATGAACCTTTAATGGCCATCTGTCTGGATTATTGAGGTTGACTAGCTGTATATTTCCTACTTTGTTATTTGGGGGATCCAACGTTCTCTTCCTCTTTCACAGGATGCATCCGCAACAAAAGAGGTCGTCTTTCCTGAACCTAGCGTTCTACCAGATATATGATCTTTGTGATTCGGACCGAAATGGCCACTTCACGGCGAATGAATTCAAGTGTGTCGACGACCTTGTCCACATCTACTTCGGCAGAAGGTGACGCGACTTCCAACCACCAGCCACACACCACACGGCTTAGGACCAGGTGAGCTATATTGGTTACGTGTCCAGCTGACGCCTGATGAATTACATACATATGTGTAGTTTAGTAGCCTAATGGTTACGTCGTTAGCCATTAACGATGAAGATCCGGGTTTGTTTCCTTACATGGCCATAATTCGTAAAACCATCCCCCGTCTCAATGTTGATGACATATCGCTAATCAGGGTATGTAAAACACTTCAATGTATCTACCAGGTATGTACCGACAAAGATATGTCTAGTATGCATGTACATACAGCATACAAGAACGTGTGTCTTGCTCTGTTGGGGGCACAGGTGGCCCAGTCGTCTAAGGCGCCGCGATTCGCTGTGCAGAGTTGCGTCCTTTGGGCACGCCAGAAACCTATAATTGTGGGTTCGAATCCCGGTTCACCCCGATTATGTTTCTAGGTTTTTCAGCACCATACCCGTGTTCGTGGGTTTCACCGAAGTGGTAAACGTCTGAGACCTGCATCTCTTCGGGCTTTCCTCCCACATTAAGCTGACACGCCGCGATATAACTGGAATTCTGTTATGGTGATGTAGTTTACGTATTGGTCTATGTATATACATGCTGCATCACTGTACTTGCGTCTTGTGTTGCAGAATGGTCCTCGGGGTGCGTCAAGGGATGACACGATGCTACCGTTATTTTAGCTATGGCTCTACATCATTTTCTGTACTTCCGTCATGAATAAAACGTCCCAATCCTTCCGGTGTATACTGTTTGCCTCGGCTTTTCTCCTCGCTCGGATCATCATGGATCTTCTCAGTACATTTCAGTAGTTCCTCGCTTGTCGGCCACGCGTCATGGATGAAACAAGTCCGATGGGTGTGGCTGACAATAGTTGTGTACTTGCACGAGCGATCGTGTTTTCCAAGGACTTGACCTTGAATAAGACCTTGACCTTGAATATGACCTTGAACTTCCCTAACGACGAGTGTTCCGGGAAAGGCAGGACAGGAAGAAGTTAACATGGAGTCTTGGGTTCGTTGCTCCCATACTGATGATGCAGGTGCATACTTAGAGATAAGCCAACGAACTACACGGAACTGTGGATTATCTGACCCGAGTCATTGAATGATGTCCCTTTGACGAGGGATTTCCAGCATTCTTTAGTGAGGGATTGATAATCTGAACTTATTAAGTTTAGTGGAAGGTATTCCATATTGATATTTAAGGTAGCAAAATAGAATGAAGAATATCGAAAACAATATCAACACAGAGAGACTTCAATGTGTTCAGATGACGTAATAGTAGTGTGACGTCATGAACAATGTATGATGTCACATCGTACTGTTACCAAGAATGAAGCAATGTGACATCATATTATTACTGAGAATATTAAAAACACAGATGCAAATTTAACACTCTATTTTATTACCCCCATGGGTAATATGGGTATGTATTTTGTAAACGTAACTGACAGTTGTTATGCAGTGTGTGAGTGAGTGAGTGAATGAATGTATGGATGTCGTGTAACAGTCCGTACAATCCCAGCTATATCTCGGGTGCTTGTCAATAATCGAGGCTGGACGAGAGAACCCAGTGTCTGAACGAGCCACGCCATCAGGGTACGACGCCAAGAGTCTGTCATGCCGATGTAACTGAGTCGCTACCCACGACCTGTTTAATGGTGCGGGGGTGCTAGTCCAACCCTGGTTCCAATACACAAGAGTGTTAGTGAGTGAATAAGTGAGCAAATATTGCATTAGGCCGCATCAGCAATATTAAAGCGGGATGATTTCAGATTGGTTATGGCATCATGTTGACTAATATAATTATATTATCTACCAAAAAAAAACAACAACAAAAAAACAAAACAAAAAACAAACAAAAAGTTCAACTTCTATATATATTTACAAATAGCTATGGGTAGTGATATTAAACAGAAAAGTTCCTTGATCACTTGGTGGTTTATACACATCATCGACTGGTAACTCTATCAGACGCGGATCATCCAGCACCAAGACTTGAAACGCCATATATCATAACCTCTGCATGCATGAGAACAATATTATGAACAACACAGCTGGATAGCACATGGTGGTCCGTTAGCATAGAATAATTGACGTCACACCATCATTACGACACAGAATCGTAATCGACAAAACTTAATTATCATTCAGTATACAGTAGTTATCAACCTCATACGTTGATATGTGAGCATCAGAAACCGCCCAAACTAACAGCATTGTTTAATTTTGTAATATACACAATGGAGACCTTCAGCGATGTCTTGGCACATGGTGTACCCATGTGAAGAAGAGGGAGTATGGTTTGTCGCCAGCAATACGGCGAGGATGACAACATTGTTTTAGCAATTTACACTCATTATTGGAATAGAACCACGGTATACCATGCTATGCGGACATTCTACACACCGGCTACCTGTTGTCTGCCCATATTGTTTTTGTTGTTGTTGTCAGCAATATTCCAGCTATATGACGGCTGTCTGTAGATAATCGAGTCTGGATCAGACAATCCAGTGATTGACATCATGAGCATCGATCAACGTAATTGGGATCGATGACATGCATCAACCAAGTCAGCGAGCCTGACCACCCGATCCCGTTAGACGCCTTTTACGACAAGCAAGACGCCTTTTACGGCAAGCATGGGTTGCTGAAGACCAATTCTACCTCGGAATCTTCACGGGTCTCTGCCCATATTGAACAACTCTTACAAACCAGTGAAAGTACTGTCTAACTGCTGGAGATGGAAATATGACCCCTCTTTCCCCCTCGTTAGCTATTTATATGCGATTTAATTATTACAAAACATCTTTGGGGTAGATAGACAGACCCAGTTTGAACCAATCGGTGGAGCCACCCGTCCTCAATACGGGTACCAGACACTATATACACAGGTCATTGACATCAAAGAAATGTGAGACACAAGTCGGAATGGAAGCATGACACTTTACGGCTGATGAATATATTATTTCTCCACGACACTTCAGATCACATCTTGGACTTCATCCCATGTCCCTAGTAACCTATGCTGGTCGTAAGAACTTGTTGTATTGGGTGGCTCGCTGACATGGTTGATAGCCTGTCATCGTACGCCGAGGGCATGGATCGTTGCTTGCAATACCAATCACCTGATTGTCTGGTCCTGAGTCGATTATTTACAGACTGCCGTCATATAGCTGGAATATTGCTGGGGGCGGCGCTGAACTTGAAAACAATCGTCGACCTAGTCGATGCAATGAGTAGTCTGAAAAGTCGTAGAGAAATAAAGTATTCAAGCACAAAGTTTCACAGTTCTCTCCTGTCAGCTTAGTAATGCCATCAAAGACACAACGAGGAAGTGCAGACTATACACGTGACATCACCAACATAGACATTTCTTTAAGTAAATGTCTCATTAAACATCATACGTGATTAAGTCATTTTTCGATTTTACTCAATAACCGCTATTAGATGGTGAAGTTTTCAGTACAAACATTATAAGTGATTAATTTTAATTTTTTTTTGAATGTTTTGTATACAACACACGTACATGTTTTACCACAAGCTGAGATATTTAGTGGTTTGCCATTTCACCAGAAAGGTAAGACATTTAGAAACACACAGCACACACAGAGGTCTCGCGAGACAAGGTCAGTATCTGGAGCCAGAGTGTCTGGAAGTAATCACGTAATTGTGCACACGGTCCCGATACGCCAATTACGAGCCGAGCCTTGTTCGGCTGATCCTCTGTACTTTTACTTGGGGTTGCTACATTGTAGGTGCTACATTGGAGGTGCTATACATCACTCGGCACAAGCTCAGGTGGATTAAACATTAACCGCAACATCAGTGATCAGACAACGACAACTCATTGTTGTGTTTGTCTCACAACTGCGTATCATCATCATCATCATCATCATCATCATCATTGATTGTGCTGACCTATTGTAGAACGTATTCCTTTTTCCAGTGCAGAATTACCTTTACCAAAAGGACAGGAAAAGTTCAGTCGACAGTATTGGAACCCTCAACATATATTCCTGGACACACGTTGGTTGTACAGTAAACTACGGTTATAACGAACTCAAAGGGACCACTAATATTAGTTCGCAATAACCGTTGTTCGTTATAAGTATATATCCAGCATATATACAACTAATGGTCGGGACTAAAAAATAAGTTCGTTATATCAGTCAGTTCTTTATAAGCGTGTTCGTTATAAACGTAGTTTAATGTAGATGTATACAGTTAATTCACAAGGGAAACTATCTCAGCGGTACTTTACATTTTTAACGAAATAATACAAAACATAAACAATATGGTCTTTGTGCTTACCGACTTTTCAAGCAGTTCTGATATCCTTTCTGAAATATTGTATTAATGGTATAGTCATGTTAGATGACTTCTAATAACTACCCATTGTAATGTTTATCAAATAAGCAGATAACTATCATGACAGTCACACATTTATAAGAAACACTCTGACCTTTCTACAACTTGGCACTTCAATATCGAGCGTATGTCTCTGCACATCTCGTATATAATTTCAAGCAATAAATAGCAATAAATATACAAATCTTATAATCATTTGCGTGAACAATACTAAAAGCGGAAAAATGAACTTCAGCATAAATAATACTATCAGGATTCTCGTTTCAAATGTGGCCTTGGCATCAATGAGCAGGTCAAGTTAGGGTGTTACTTTTGAGAAAAGAGCAAGGGTATAACAAACTAGGTATTATATTTAAATAAACTTCCCCTTCTATGTGTCAAATGACACTGAAGCATTTCGAATGAAACGACCTTGAAACATTTATTTCGACTCTTCTTTTGTTTTCTCCACATCCAAGATGGTATACGTCGTGTCCATGCCGGCGTCTATGTGGTCGTTGACGTGACAATGCAGGAACCACTTGCCGGGGTTGGTAGCCTTCATTATCGCTGATACCCCCACCTCGGGGAACACGGTGATGACGTCAGTACTGTGCACCCCCCCTGACCGCTGGAGCAGGGTCTGGCCGTGGAAGTGCACGGTGTGGATGTCCTGTGTCCCTCCGAAGCCGAGGATGTGCCAGGCCACCGTGTCCCCTTTGTTCATCGTCAAACCCGGAAGTGACTGATATACAAACCCATTTATCATATGCATCTTATTGCTTTCTACAAATTCTGCATCTTCGTGGTTCTTCTGGTCTGTTGCAAACTTCTTCTGATTCCATTCAAGATACCAGCTTTGATTTTCGTCCATGATTGAAAAGAGTAAAATGAATTCTTTATCAACATCTTTCCTAACCCTCTTCTTGCCAAGAACACCTTTTCTACAGATGATCAGCGGACCGATCAGCCCGGAGTAAGCGTCTTTCACCTGGTTGTGCGCGGAGTAATACATCGATGATATGCAAGCCGGGTCTTTTGAGCCAGGGCCCTTGGTTATCTCCCATCGATACACATGGAATCCGCCAGGGGGCACCCCGTCGTCAGTTTTCGTGTCCGTCCGGTCGGAGTACAAGCTTCCTTCGTTCGCTTTGTCTGTGTTGACCAGATGAGCATGTAGGGAATACGTCCGTGACGCCATGTTCTTAAACACTATCTCCACGACATCGCCTACTTCTGCCCTGACGACGGGGCCAAGGAATCCAAGGTATTCGTCCCCGGCGTCTTTGTGTTTGGGAACACTGAAGGCGGAGTCCCGGAACTCCTTAAACACAGCTTTACGGTACTTGGTGCCCACGTGTTTGTTATCGTTGAGTGCGAATGCGTAGGACTTGCTGGAAAACAAACAGAACAGTCAATAAATGTTGCCATGACTAGATGTGAGATTACATTTTTACGCCGCTTAAAGCAATTTCCAGCAACAATTTGTACCTATGTGGGGATCGAACCCGGGTTTTGACGTGACGAGCGAACGGATTCACCATTAGGCTACCCATCCACACAGGACTACAAGAACTATTATGGATTGTCATAGGTTCCACATTATCATCAAACAATAGATAATCAGTACCAGAGTGAACATTGTAGAGTAAGTGTATGAGTGGGTATTTGGTGGGTGGATCAGTTACTGGATGGTTGGATCAGTGAGGTGGGTATTTGGTGGGTTGATCAGTTGTTGGATTGTTGGATTAGTGAGTGGATCAGTGAGGTGGGTATTTGGTGGGTGGATCAGTTACTGGATGGTTGGATTAGTGAGTGGATCAGTGAGGTGGGTATTTGGTGGGTGGATCAGTTACTGGATGGTTGGATTAGTGAGTGGATCAGTGAGTTATTCAGTAGATGACTGTGTGTGTGTGGATGTCTTGAAGAGTGATTGAGTGAAGGGATGGGCTTTAAATAATATCCCCGTGTTAGCAGCATTGCAGACAAATTAGAATCCAAAAGTCCGAAATAAGCTTTACACATTTTTTTCTATTTGCAAATAAAAAAATAAATAAAAAAAGTATTAAAAAAAAGAAGAAAAAGGAGCATTTCACATTATATTCTATAGATTCAGCCAATGAGCTTTGCTTAGTCACACAATAAGAAACAAGAACTACATTCATTCTAAAATAGAAAAATATGTTATGTCCTGACCATGGTTTAAATAAACTTGCATTTCGTTTAGTCTGTTTAGGTTTTTTCCTAAATAATATTTGAATTCGTCAAATATTTTCCTAACCTCTTCGGATCTGTCAATTCGCTATCATCGACAACCGACTTCTTGGAAGGCGCATATTCCCACTCTGTTTCCATGGCAGCGATGTAGTACTGGCGTTTCGGGGGGTTGGGGAGGTGTGTGTAGGACAGGAGGGCGGGGTGGAGGTAGTCGCAGTTCTTCACCTCGTACAACATGCTGAGCCCTGCCTTGAAGTGATCCGTGTTGCGGTCGAAGATACCCCAGTTACCTGAAGAGAAGCGGCTACATGGTCATTTACTGTTTATGACGCTGCTCTGTGAATAATTGTTTTTTGTTTGGTTTGTTGTTTAACGCCGCACTCAGCAATATTCAAGCTATATGACGGCTGTCTAATCCAGTGATTGATATCATGAGCATCGATCTGCGCAATTGGGATCGATGACATGCAACAACCAAGTCAGCGAGCCTGACCACTCGATCCCGTTAATCGCCTTTTACGACAAGCATAGTCGCCTTTTACGGCAAGCATGGGTTGCTGAAGACCTATTCTACCCCGGATCTTCACGGGTCCTGTAAATAATTGAGTCTGGACCGGCTGTTCCAGTGATTGACATTATGACCATCGATCTACGCAACGATGTCACGCATAAACAAAGTTAAAAAGCCTGACAACCCGATCCCGTCAGTCGCCTCTTAAGACCAATTCTAACCCGGATCTTCACGGGTCTTTCATGTAATAACAGGGACGTAAAACCAATTTGTTTCTATTTGTGTACGTCGTCAACGGACATTTATTTGCTATATGAAATGTTACATGAGACACATTCAAATCTTTTTATGACTTGACGAAAAAATTGAGACGGCTTTATTCAGCTTTATGTATTTGGTATGACATGTCAAAATGATAAGGAATGACATGCAAGTGAGACAAAAGTAGACGCCATGATATTTTCTGACTCATGTGACATCCCGTCTGACCGTGGTGTTTGACTCACCTATGTGAGACATGAGTGTGACGAACGACAGCGATTTGCCCGGCACCAACTCCACTGTGTCCTTCACACTGCCGTCCACGTCGAAGTCCATGCCGTGGAAGTAGATGGAGTGGACGTCGGTCTGGTCCCCCACACAGAACAGATGCCAAGAGATCTGCTCCGCCCGACACAACTCCATGCCGCCCAGGTTACCGAACGCCCGACCGTTCACACCTGGAGTATTTAGATAAGTTGTTTGTTTGTTTGTTGTTTTACGCCGCACTCAACAATATTCCAGCTATATGACGGCGGTCTGTAAATAATCGAGTCTGGATCAGACAATCCTGTGATTGACATCATGAGAATCGATCCACGCATTTGGAATACAATGAAATGCATCAACCAAGTATGGGAGTCTGACCACCCGACCCGTTAGTCGCCTCTTACTAGAAGCATAGTCGCTTCAGTATAAGTGTTACCTCCCACACTGAATGACAGTTCAATATGATTGGGAAAATAATTAATAAACATTGATTCAATTATCACAAATATGATTTAATTTATTACATCCCGAAATCTCACTTATTTCACGATTTCTTCAAACATTTTGGTTCGAGATACTGACTTTTTTATTTTAGCTTACCATATATTCCCATTGGCATTTTACTGAATGCTGCTTGCTTACCTCTCATTCTGTTGGATTCCACGAACTTTGGATCTTTCTTGTCGATCTTGGAGGCTATGGTGAACTTCTCGATGTTCTTGTCCAGGTACCAGGATTTGTTCTCGTCAAACACGCCAAAGAACAACGCCCGATCCTTGTCCACGCCTTTCTGAAATATAATTGTAGAAGGTAGTTTCACACATGCTGAATCAGGAATAAAATATTTGCGATTCGGGAATCGTAATTCAACGTGATAAATGTATAAACCAACCTGCTTGCCCTCATCATCCAGAGAACCCCGCTTACAGACCAGCAGCGGGCCGAGAAGACCTGAGTTGATGTCCTTGACCGGATCCACGGCCGACTGGTACATGAAGGTGACACACGCAGTGTCTTTGTCTGTCGGGGCAGCTGTCTCAGGTACGTAGAACCGGTACATACGGTAGTCCTGTCCCCCAGTCGTGATGGACTGCACAGAATCTAGACAGTAGACATAGACAGTTATAGAATGCACAACAAATGTTTTGTCAACCCTTACTGTTACTTACTGTGTAGATGGTGTAACTGACTGTGATGGTGTGGAACGGATGTCAATACGCACCATCCTTCTCTGCCTGTCCATACTGTATGAGGCCCTGAGCGTAGAATGAGAAAGGTCGTGTGGCGTTGTTCCACAGTGTGACCTCGAGAGTCTCCCCAACCTCGACCCTGATGATGGGGCCAAGGATCCCCAGATGGAAGTCGTCCACGCCTTTACGTTTCACCTTCTGAAACTCCTTGTCCTCATACTGAACAAACCGCGCCTTCATGTATTGGCTGCCGATAGCGGTGGACTTGCCGATGAAGTATTGAGATTCTGGGCTGCAAATAATGCAAGTAAAGAAATACCGTAAACTACGGTTATAACGAACTCAAAGGGACCACTAATTTTAGTTCGTAACAACCGTAGTTCGTTATAAGCATATATACAGCAAATGACCTGGGCTAAAAAATAGGTTCGTTATATCCGTCAGTTCGTTATAAGCGTGTTCGTTATAAACTTGTTTACTGTAATGCAAAATGAACCCAAAAGGCGAGAAACAATCCTTCGAAAAATGCAAAATTATGCATTCAAAACGACTCACTTTATGACCCTAGACGTCCATAATATATATACCTTGAGCCATAGTGCAAAGTAGCCCTTCAACACTGGCTACTTACAATACATTAGCGTTTGTTTTGTTTGTTTGTTCGTTGTTTAACACCGCACTCAGCAATGTTCAAGCTATATGACGGCGGTCTGTAAATAATCGAGTCTGGACTAGTCAAGCCATTGATTGACATCATGAGCATCGATCCACGCAGTTGGGATACGATAGCGTGCATCAACAAAGACAGCGTGTCCGACCACCCGACCCCGTTAGTCGCCTCTTACGACAAGCATAGTCGCGTTTTACGGCAAGCCTGGGTTTCTGAAGACCTATTCTACCCCGGACCTTCACGGGTCCAATACATTAGTGGATAAATGCCCACAGGTGAGTTTTACGAATTTGTCGAATGACGCTATGGTAATATGGTGGAACTTCGCAATCACCCAGACCTTATAGAAACCCTGTCAGAGCTCGTTCTCGTCCCTTCTGAATTACATCTAGGGTACCTGTCATCCAATAGCGCTTTCTCCGTGAGTTTGTCCACTCCTGACGGCAGGTAGTCCCACAGATGTTCGTGGATCATCAGAAACACTTTGCGGACATTACCTTCCTCAATCAGAGGCTCCGGCTTGTCCGCACACTTCTTCGCGTTGAAGAACCCTTGCATTCCCTCTGGACAAGGAACAGTTTTCATTAGTTAGGCATCTAGTTTTCTTAGTGAATATGTTACCCTTCTTACTTGGTTATCGAAATGAGTCACTTTAAAAGCCTATAAATATATTCATGATTTTACCAAGCATTCAATCAGTCCTTTGAACACCCCTGAAATACAAAGATAAAAGCAAACAAAAAGCAAAACAACCCAGACCAAAACAAAATTAACAAACAACAAAGTATACCGGTCCACTGTGAGCTGATGGAATGGAACAAGGACATTGATAGGACATCCCGTATGTTCCACAGTGAGTGAGTTGGGTTTAACACAGCTTTTAACAGTATTCCAGTCATATCACGGCGTGTCAGCTTAATGTGGAAGGAAAGCCCGAAGTGATGCAGGTCTCAGACGTTTACCACTTCGGTGAAACCCACGAGCACGGATACGGTGCTGATACACCTTGGATCTGTTCCTCAGTGATGACTGACATTGTAATAATGTAATTGCTAGACAATAACATTTCACTCCGTGTACAAGCCGCGTTAAACTTAACGCACTCGCTCACTCATAAAGCACTTAATAGTTTGGAATCATTTGAACAGACTTTCTGTCTCACCGTCAAAGTGGTCGTTTGCTTTGCAGTACACAAGCTTCCAGCCTTGATGACTTGCCACCATTTCTGCTGACACAAATTTGGACGGGAACACATCCACCGACAGTACTCTGAAATTACAAAATACAGTGTCACGTTAAGCGGGATGTTGAAAATATATTCGTTTGTTATGTTATTAAAAGCGACAAAACCCTTTCCTTATTCATAAGAAATCTCGGCAAAAAGCAGAGTCTCTTGTACGATTCCGACTATATCATGAACATGTGTTTATGAATCACTATTAAATAGTGATGATACCAGGTGTTCTCGAAATTGTGAACGTATCCAGCCCCACCAGTGGCATCCGTCACAAACACATGCAAAGGCAAGTCAATTGTTCAACTGAAAGAACACACGGGAACATGTCAAAATTGTCTCATATTCGGAAATGTCCTCCACATGTCTACCACAAAACCTTTTGAAAGCTTTACTGAGGCCTTGAATTCTGTAACCTTGATCAAACAGCTCTTTGAAAACTTGGTATATATATCTGGTCCAAATTACCTTGTTTTGACGTTGCCAATCCGAGCAGAAATTTAGATACATATACATTAAGAAACAGATCCAGAAGTAGGGTCAATGGCGTACTCTCACCTGTGGTCTTCGTACGTCATACTTTCCCCGTCCACCATGAAGCTGTGCACGTCATCCTCACTGCCCATGCCGATGACGTACCAAACAACCTTGTCTCCGGAACAAGCTTCGAACTTGGGACCATTACCGAACACGTAGCCATTTAGTGCATGCATTCGGTTGCTCTCCGCAAACCCATCATCCTTGCCCTTCACAAGGTCCACACAACACGCGGGGTCCTCACAGGTGTTCATGTTATAGTCCAGATACCAGCTCTGGTTCTCGTCAAAGATCTTCAACACAGCGACAAATTCCTTGTCCACATCCTTTCGATTACCATCCTCGTCCAGGGCACCTGTTGATTAAACCCTAAATACTGAACACGTCCATACCTCGCCCAATTCAAGAATATGTGCTATTGCGAGATTTAGTTGCGAACGTCTTCACATTTATGTTTGGTATATGCAGGAACGTTCAAATAGCTTCTTAAATAAATTAATCTTCGACGGCATGTAGAGTGAGTGAGTGAGTGAGTGAGTGAGTGAGTGAGTGAGTGAGTGAGCTTGGTTCTGCAACGTATTAGCAAGATCCAGCAACATCACGGCGGGACACTATGTGTTCGTTAACTTATCCTTGCGAAATTGGTTCTTTGTAGAGCATGGACATGTACAAATTCATTCAAGAATGGGATCAAGCGCCATTTTTCAAAATTGTCTATCAAGAAAACCGATGCCGCGATTGTTGTTGTTTAGTCAGTGTCAGCATCGATTGTCATTATCCAATGATATACAGAACACAACGAATGAGAATAATTAGTTACCGACATATGTATGATTTTAAACACCACCACGATGTGTACAGTGAGATGACAGGAACTGTTACACATTTTAACATGGACAAACTAATAGAAAGTGAAGTTCAAGTTATAGTAACTTGACGTTTGCTTAAGTTACATAATCTATACCCACGTTCTACCTTCTGACTTCATGAACCACCAATGCTAGTTCAAATATTTTTAATGAAAAGTAAAACGTAGTTAATGTGTTGACAAGTAAGATTCCAATCGTCAATATTAGCATCGAATTACATCCTGTCTTGGGGTTCATCCTTTTTTGTCTGAGTTAAAACTAATACTAATTTCGTATTTGCCAAGAGGAAGAGAAAATGTGTGTGAAATTCGAAATAATGAATTTAAAATAAGATTTGCAGAAAACCCGTTCCTCAGTTCAGTTATGAAAATTTGAAAATATAAGAATAACCAGACTTGATTGTGCGACGAAACAGATTTCATTAGGGGCGTACATTTGTATTTTGTAATCCCATAGGCTTGAGAATACCAAACATCACTTTTGCCAAAAATAATATTTCCTTATTGTTCGCTTAGGGTGTATTATATGAATCATGTGAGACATTTCATCTGTTTATGTATGCCTTCAAGTTGTCATTTCTGGTGTCCCCCGCCGGGATATTGCTGGAATTTTGCTAAAAGCGGCGTAAAACCATACTCACTCACTCATTTCAAGTTGATTACAGCTCACCTGACGCACTTACCCTTTTTGCATGTGAGCAGCGTTCCTAAAAGTCCGCTGTTTGTGTCTTTACCCGCGTCCTTACTGTGGGAGTGATAGGCCCAGGGGATACACGCCTTGTCGCCAGGTGTGGGTCCAAACTCCTCAGTTATCTCCCATGTGTACGTGTGCTCTCCACCAGGGATCACTGTGTCATCCATCTTGTCTCCATCCTTAGTTCCGTCACTGTAGAGAGCTCCTAGAAGACACCAACGGATTGGCGTTGTCAAATATAATCTCAAAAGGTGTATTGTATTTATTATTATTATTTTGCGACATGTGGACAATTAGGGGTTCTGTGAGGTAAAAACATGTATGTTAAAGTCAAATGTAAATTGTTCTCAATTTTCAATTGATTCTACTTCAAATACTCTTTCAGGATCATATGAGCAGGTTACTCTCGTAGCTATTAACTTAGCATTGTTTCAGCCTTATCACAATAGAACGCCAAGAATGGGGTCACATAGTATTCTCTTGTTGGAACGCGAATCCAGGAGAACGGCGAATAGTTTACAGCAAGGCTACACATTCCCCCAAAACCTTTCAGAGATAGATACGTCAATGTTAAACTTTACCAAGCATTCTATATATTATTTCTGAGGGCACCCGTCCCAGTACTTGCCCTTATCAACAACCACAATGGTTATAGCACGTGTCCCTATCGGAAAGGCACCAAGATCCTTAGAGGGATATAAGGTAGTAGGGGCTTAACTTGCTTCGGAATTCCGACCTTGCATGGATTAAATGATAATGCATAAAGTCACTTTATTGAGGATATGGTCGTGTTCTTATAGATAATCAGGATCATAAACAAAGATCATAAACAGTTCAAGGACAAGAACCTTCAAAACGTGTAAACCCTTAACCCTTACATCAGGAACATACAATTATTCAGAGTGCGAAACAGCAAGAAGCGCTCATAAAGCCTGCAACTGACCCAACATATCGCATTTCGCTTTAGAGAATGTATGTCAAGCTTTACCTTCATTCGACTTGGAATATTTGACGCCATGTGGATGAACTGAATAGGGCTTTGTCGCTAGGTTCTTGAAGTGGACGATCAACTTGTCCCCAACTTCTCCTTTCAAGGTCGGCCCGATGAAACCCAGCCAGAGTGGTTTGGATACCTCCTTTGTGAACGTCTTGTCCGTGTACTGACTGTATACTGCCTTGCGATACTTGCTGCCGACACGGTCAGGACCCTTCTCGATGAATGCTTTGGCCGATCTAGAATGAAACCACTAGTGTACCACAGTGTCAGCGTATTACTTCACATGACTTGTAATGAGTGTTCATTCCGTTAACAATTCCTTTGAAGGCAGTCATCAAGCTCTCATCTAATGAAAATCGACCGTCTCCGTGGTCTAGTGGTAGAGTTTTCGCCCCGAGAGCGGAAGGTCAAGGGTGTGATCCCCGGCCGCGTTATACCAAAAGACGTTAAAAGATGTTACTTTGTGTTGCCCTGTCTGGAGCTCGGAATTAATAAATAAAACTATTAGATGCATGATACATTGTACTTATCCTTGATCTCAGTAATACCTGTTCCTGGTGAGATTTTGAGAAAACTGATTTTAAAATGTCGCCTCTGTTTATGAGTAGTAACAAGATAGCCCCTGCATACCTCCCCTCAGATCACAATACATTCTATTGAATACTAATGCTAAATTCCTCATTACATTCTTAAAATATCAGTTCATTCAGTTCCACCGCCACACCACTTCATCTCTCGTGCTCTGACTCCTGGAGGCGATGATTTCAGTTACAAAGTCGAAATATATTTGTTCCACTGTGGCATACAAAGTGACAGCACATGTTCCTTGTTCCTTTATAGAAATTCTCCTTTGTGACGTCAAGTATGGATGACCTAACTATTGCCTGTAAATCAACATGTGCAAGTTTAAACATACAGTAAACTACGGTTATAACGAACTCGAAGGGACCACTAATTTTAGTTCGTAATAACCGTAGTTCGTTATAAGCATACATACAGCATTTATACAACAAATGGTCGGGATTAAAATAAAATTCGTTATATCGCTCAGTTCGTTATAAACGTAGTTTACTGTACATCATGAGCATTCTCTTTCAAAGGTGATATCATTTTTAGGCCAGACCATTTCGACTTCTTCATTTACGGATATTTTTGGTAAATGAACCATAAGACAGGAGCATAAATAATCGTATTATTTGATACACGTGTCATTCCATATCTGATCGACCCGTGAAGATCCGGGATAGAATAATTCTTCAGCATCCCATGCTTGCCGTAAAATGCGACTATGCTTGCGGGTGGTCAGGCTCACTGACTGGGTTCGTATGTCTTCGTATGCATGTCTTCGTATTCCAATTGCGTGGATCGTTGCTCATAATGTCAATCACTGTCTGGTCCTGATTCGAGTATTTACAGACCGCCGTCATATAGCTGGAATATTGTTGTGTGCGGCGTTAAACAACAAATAAACAAACAAACCATATCTGATCATTTTCTTTCCTAGATGACGCTTTCAATATCATATCTGTCGAGAACAATTTGAAATATTGTTTATCATCTCTTCTCCGGCTTTTTCTGGGTAATGCACCAAAATGCAATTCAGTTTAATGTCCCAAGATAACCGCTAAGTCTTGAAATATAATCTTAACATAAATACAAAGAAACGGACTATGAAGTTAAATATTTTCAAGCAAACATAACATGAATTTTAGCAATTTGGAATTAATCGTAAGATTTGTTGAAAACAAGAAATCTGCCTGGACTGAAGAGTTTAATAACTTCATGCACAGTATAATATTAAATGCCCACGCCAGAGAAGAACTTAGATTATCCCACGAAAGAGATTCCATTTGGTACTAAAGACAAAGGAGCAGTAAAAAATAATTGAAAGGATCACTGAAAATCAGTGATGACACCAGTATCATCTTATTACCCGATGTAAAGCAACATGTATATATATCATAGGTGTATCATTGGATGTGATGGTATTAGAAAGTAGACATAACTTATTGTGCACTGCGTAAATTCCTATCTCGATTTTAAGCGTTAACTTATATATACGTTAAAAACAACAACAATGTTTGAAGTTGACAGGACACAGCCCAACGTGATGGTGACGACAGGAACAGTCGTGTGCGACATTTTACAGAACAAGTACAGAGATTGGTCAGGATCAAGTAACTCCTTGTACAACCTTCTTTTGCGGTACCCCCCCCCCCCCCCCCCCCCCCCTCCGCCCCTGCTGGCATGATTTAAAGTTTTTTCAGTTATAACGAGGTCGTGTATAATCTTGAAATCACATGGAGTTTAGCTTTATTAAACGATGAACTTTTTATGAAGTTAAGTCATTTCCTCTTCTGGGATTTGATGAAAGATTTTTTTGTCGGGGACGGAACTGCTATATTGGAAAGACATTAAAATGTTGAAATTGGATCAATCGACGTTGCACTAGATTTACAGAGTGGTGATATGTTAAACTTGTTCTTATATTTCTGTACTTCAATGTGCCGCCCCCAAGTCTGTGCGAACGACAACGTGAGCTTTTCAAATCAGAGGATATTTGTAACAGCCTCTTTTTGAGTCTTTGTTGTAAGCCTGATCTCAGCGGTTCGTGACAAAACAATAATACTATATTCATCCTCGTCCCACTCTGAAAAACTACTGGACTCAGCACTATTTATTATAAAATGGGTGACCTTTTAATTTCTGGCATATATCCTGAATGTCATCAGCTTGAATGCAGCACAAACTTCAATAAAACCAGAGAAGACTCTATGTCTAGTACAGGCAATGATTAGAAGTTGCTATATTCGTGCATTTGAATAAAAATCATTACTTTGTTTTAATTCCCTGAGGCAGTTCATTATTGTTCATCAGCATAACCTTTGAGAAAATGTGTGTCTCAATTTCAATTCTATTGATATTCTTGCAATGATGATAACATCTCGTGATAGGTATATGGATACTGCCCACCTGATGGGTGTACGGGAGAAAGGTAAAACGTTCCCGCAATCAAGGTCGTTAGAATAAACAGAACACCTATAACAGAATACGAATAAACAATGAAACAAAGAAACTCGAAGTTGTCGGGACATATGTCGAATATGTAGTTCGAGATAAGCGTAGTTCGAGTTAACGAGGTTTCACTGTCTAAAGATATTGCTCATTATTGCCTTCACTTACCCTGCTGACCGTAAAGATTCGGGGAAGCATAGGTCTTCACCAACCCATGCTTGCCGTAAAAGGCGACCATGCTTGTCGTAAGAGGCGACTAACGGGATTGCTGACTTGGTTGATGCATGTCATCGTATCCCAACTGCGTGGATCGATGCTCATGGTGTCAATGACTGGATTGTCTGGTCCAGACTCGATTATTTACAGACCGACGTCATATAGCTGGAATATTTCTGAGTGTGGCGTTAAACAACAAACAAACAGACAAACAAAAACTTACTCTGCTTCATCCTTGACGACACTGGTTCCTGTAGGTGCGTAGTCCCAATCCACCTCCACCGCTGCCAGGAAATACTCCCTGTCCCTACACACACTCACCCCACACAGGGCCAGAACAATCACCAGCGTTATAATAACCATCATGCGTTCTAGTCAGTCAATGGCGACGCTAAGCTGAGACAACCAGACAGGAGACAGGCGTAAAAGTTGGAAAAAATGAAAATAATGAATAAATATATTTAAGAACAAACATAAAAAAAGATAAAATTATGACGACGCGTCTAGCACACAGTAAGGCTGTTGACATCAAAGGGCTTGAAGACTAGAGGGCCTGGGTAGGCATGATTTCAGTGGCTGAGTATGTGGAAGACTGGCCTGAGATGTCGGGGGTGATTACGTACGAGAGTGAAAGCAGTAGATACGAGACCACTGACTTATATCATAGTAGGCCGCGTTATGTAAATACTGGCATGCCCTGTGGTCACCAATGAACGTGATGCCGAGACTAAGATGGCTTCCCCATGTTTTTCTGTGTTGACATAAGCCTGAAGTGACTTAGCGAACGTTAGGGAAAGACCCAAAGACGTGATCAACCCTCCTGCTTAATTACAGAGTTGCGACTTATTTTGCTGAAAAAAAGTTCAAAAGGTCTTAAGACTTTTCTTTCACGCTAAGCATATGCCCATGGTGTCTTGTATCAATGCTGTGTTAACGTCGGCGTATGTACGCGAGAGCTAATCTAGTACCTGGGGAACAGTTAAGAATCGCAATCTGAAGGCCTGGACGCTCGACAGGTGTGAGACATGTCAGGTGACAATGAGTATTGTTTACCTGGCCACTCACGCAGGTGTTATACAACATAACAAACAGACTGCATGTTGCTGATGGCGGTAACGTCTACTCGACGGTTCGGAGCTATGCAATGGCAGGGGCATAATTCGCTGGTATGCAAAGGCACTATGGAGGTTGATTGAGTATGGCTTTACGCCTCTTTTAGCAATATTCCACACATATCACGGCGGGGAACACCATAAATGGGCTTCACACATTGTACCATGTGGGGAATCGAACTCGGGTCTTCGGCGTGACGAGCGAACACTTTAACCACTAGGCTACTTCACCGCTCCACATCCAGAGGTCTGAGAATTATTGCGTATTGGGTTCATTAATATTGGGAGACTTTTTGTACTGAAATATTTTCAATTTTTACAATAATAAATAATCAGCGGAATAATGGAGATGTGTCATGGTTTACGTTCTTAGCATATTTCAATAATGTATATCATAACGTATATCAGAAGTAAAATAGTTGGATTGAAATAGGTCAGATAAATAAAAAATATTTAGGTGATGACACCAGGTGTTCGCTAAGTAGTCGACGATTCCGTTCTCTCTAGATATGTCCTTCTGTGTGGATACAAACCGTCAGTTTCTATTATTTGATGAAACAGATACCAATGAGTGTAAAAGGCAAAATAGTGATGTAAATAATATGAATGGATAAGTGAAATTCAGTGATGACACCAGGTGTTCGCGAAAAGGGTAAGCATGTCATGCCCTAACGGTAGTATCCACCACTCAAACAATTTGCATAAAACAGTAATTTACTACGTGTGCGTTGCCTGACACTGCACACCATGCGACGGCGGCCAGTGCTATCCAGATAACTGTGGGTATATAACAACACGCACCGTGTTTGAAGCACCGACACTGAAAGCACACTCAGTAATTTCCATCAGCTTCGCGAAATAGAAACGGAAAGAATACCTAAGGCACAAGAACGCCTTTCAATATAAGTTCTTACTACATCTACTACCTAAGAGTGAGTGAGTAAGTATTGTTTCACGCCGCCTTTGGCAATATTCCAGCAATATCACGGCGGGGGACACCAGAAATGGGCACCCATATACCCATGTGGGGAATCGAACCCGGGCCTTTCGGCGTCACGAGCTAACACTTTAACCACTAGACTACCCAATCGCCCCGCCACCAAAGAACCTGGACCGTATAACCCAATGGCTAATACCACGAGTAGCGGTGCAAAAACGTACGGTGACATACAGATCGTATTTTGAAATGCCATTTGAATGGGCTCCAATACCAGGCGCGATTTAGGGGTCATCCTTGAATATATAACTACATGGAATGGTGCAATGAATAGGGCGTGGTAGAATGATTTCTTTCGCGAGCACCCGGTGTCATTACTGATTTTCAGTGATCCATTCACATAATTTTCACCGCTAGTTTGCCTTTTACGCAAGGAATCACTTTTGTCGGATAATCGAGACTGGTTACTCTCCGCTGTTGACTTCATCAATGCCGGTCTCCCGTCATGACAGGTGATGCCAGGGAATGATTGGCTGGCTTGCGGGGATTTGTACGTGTGTGAGTGAGAATGACCAATATTTTGTATAATTAGTTGACCGTGCAGTTTTGATATAGCCTTATATTGATAAATTCTTTAAACAAAGAAAGGCAATAATCAACCATGATATTCCTAGAAATACAGGCTTGCGCACTCAACACAACACTCCATTGAGGAATGTCAATCATGTTAACATATAAAAAACATATATAGCCAATCACTTGGTGACACGTTTTCAACAAAAATAACAGTTAATTGACTAGGTTTTAGCTTATAAATGCAAACGGTTTCCTGAAATATTTCCATTCATTGTTTTTTTTCATTTACAAGCTGTGCACCCCATTTTTTAAAGGCTATATCCGCGCTTGAAACTTTAATGAAGTTAAAGTGTATTTACAGTTTAAGGTTAAGATGGAGCTTAAGCAACTTCAAAGAGGTTAAGGGTTCCTAACCTCTGTTGGTGACTGTAATACTGCAGTCTGCTGGTCCCTTTGTATTCAAGACACTAAAGTATACTGGAAATCCCTTCGTGTGCACGTATTGCTTATTGTGAGTCCGTGTTTGATGTCACACCTAATCCCAGCTTAATATGCAGGGTTTAATCTGCATCACCATCAATCCATTCATTATCAAAGGGTTTTGTAATCTTAGTTTAATTCAAAGCGTTCTGCATGCATGTATCGAATCATTCAATATGTTTATTTTATGTAAAGGACAATTAGTGAATGGGACAGTTTTAGTTAATTGTAAATTAGAATATTTAAAAGGAGTAACAGTCTGGTTATATGGTTGCCAAGTAAAGCGTCTTTCAGCGGTGATTTCGCTATCGAGATGTGTCACCAGGAATGTCTTACAAGCATTGTTTGGGGATCAAAGTATTAAAGCGGTTTCTCGGTTTTATCAGATTTTATTAATATTTCCCCAAGGTGTCATGTGTATGCTTCCTGTTATTATTGCCACATCCGTATGCCATATTACACATACCGTAGTTGACCTAATAAACGACCGCCTCCGTGGTCTTGTGGTAGAGCGTCCGCCCGGAGAGCGGAAGGTCCAGGGTTCGATCCCGGGTCGCGTCATACAAAAAGACGTTAAAAGATGGTACTTGTTGTTACCCTGTCTGGCGCTCGGCATTTAGGGGCTAAAACAAGGACTGGTCGGCTCGGAGTCAGTATACTGTGTCTGAGTGGGGTATTCATGTTAAACTGCGGCATGGTATCTCAGTGAGCTAGCACTATAAATCGGCATCAGTCCGGACTAGTACAAGCAGCCACACACACACACACACACACATACACGTGCATGCACGTCGCTATAGAAGTGCAATAATCTTGGACGCGACGTTAAACCCAATTTCACCTCACCTCACCTAATAAAACACTTACGGTCACTCCTCATTATAACTATATAAAGAGAAACCCGGTTTTATCAGACCCCGTTATTCCAGACTGGTCGTAATAAGGCGACTTAATGGATCGGATGGTCAGACTCAGTTACTTAGTTGATAGGGTGTGATCGTAACCTAACCTCACAGCGTGGATCGATGCTCATGATATCAATCACTGGATTGTCTCGACTATTATTGCTGAGTGCAGCGTTAAGGCAACTACCAATATAACTGTGATTCGGACTGTGTAGTGTGTGTAATAAATGTCGTGGGTAGAGTGAGTGAGTTTTGTTTTACGCCGCTTTGAACAGTATTCCAGTTATATCACAGCGTGTCAGCTTAATGCGGGAGGAAAGCCCGAAGTGATGCAGGTCTTAGACATTTACCACTTTGGTGAAACCCACAGGTACGGGTACCGTGCTGACAAACATATAACGTAATCGGGCCGAATCGGGATTCGAACCTGCCATCATAGATTTATGGCATGACAACTCTGCACATCGATTTGCGGCGCTCTAGACGACTGGGCCTCCCAATGTAATATGAGAAGAAATACTTTGTAGCCGGTACTGAATCAATGGCTGATTACGCTCATGCGAAACTTTAATACACAACACAGCATTAAGCATTCTTCTGCAAAAAATAGTTTTCTAATAGTCACTTTTTTATATTATTAATAATGGTGTTAATGGTCCGGGGTTATGAAAAGGATTTGATGGGTTCAGGTACGTGTAAAATATAATGCCTTTATGGCAAACTTACAAGACTTATCACGGCATTTGCCCGTTCACAGAACAGAGCAGAACAGATATTTATTCATGAAAAAGACTTTGGCTTCAGCCCCTCGTCTAACAGATACAACAAAAACATATATTGACAATGGAGGTAGGACACGATTTCATATTAACTGTAAACAGGATTTCATATATTTAGAAATGTATGACAGTTGTGTTTTACAACTTGTTCGTAGCAGGCTAACTAGTTTTAATTCAGATGGCCTTTCCCAATAGTATTTATGTATATATTTTACTCTGATATCTTTATATTTTGGACATATTAATAGGAGATGATACTCATCTTCAAGTACGTTAACACTTCTAGCTTGACAATAATCACAGTATCTAAGAGGTTTGATAATGTTGTGATATCGTCCAACTTCTATTTTTAACTTATGACTCGATATTCTAATCATTGTTACATATTTTCGTAGACCCTGTGGTAAAATGTTAAGATACAGTTCATAACCAAAAGTCACTTTTAGATTGCTGTACAACATCAATTTTCTACTATTTTTGAGGTCTGAGTTCCATTTTTTTAATATAATTATCAATAAGTCTTTGTTTAAACAAAGAGACAAATAACATAGCATTTACAGACCAAGGATTTAACCACAAGAAGATGCACCATAACGAGTACTGTCATGGAATTTCACTGGGCCACTTGCCGACTGGCTATATCATACAAAACGTCAATACCAGAGAGCAACCAGTCTCGATTATATGACGAAACAGATTCCATAGGGCGTAAAAGTCAAAACAGTGATGAAAAGATCGCTGAAAATA